AAAAAAAAAAACACTACCTTTACAGGAGGCGTCCCCTACATTTTTCTGTGCACAAACTTGCAGACACCTCCCCCCCCCATGACATCATAACACATTGGGGTAATTAGCCCCATTGGTAGAGTGCCTCGTTTACACCGAGAGAGCCAGCGGTTCAAGCCCGTTATGACTACTTGCTACCCAAATTGGAAAATTGGTACTTAACTACCCAAATAGGAAAATTGGTACGTAACTACCCAGATAGGAAAATTGGTACTTAACTACCCAAATGGGAAAATTGGTATTTCCTACCCAGATGGCAAAATACTAAAATAATAAAAATAATAAAAAATATAGCTTAGTTGGTCGGACTCCGTCGGAGTGGTGGTCGGTCACGCCAGGGGTCACGGGTTCAAATCCCGTCTTTACCAGGAGGTATGGCTGAGTGGCGCTGAAGGCATTGGTTTGCTAAATCAACATACAACAAGCTACCAATGCGCAGACAGTAGGAAATAGCAAGAGAGGGAGGGAGAAGAGGGGACAAACAAACGAGGGGCTGTGACAAACGGTTTCGTTGGAGTTTCACCGACTGACTCATCAGGAGGCTGAACCCTCAAAAACAGTCTGCAGAATCCCCTAACTGATGGGGAAACTGTAGATGATAATCCACCTTAACCCCGGCCGGGTGTGATTAAGAATCAACGACTGGCTGACAGCTGATGATACCCCTCTGAGGTGGTGGGGACCACCAACCACTGCCCTCAAGGTATGTACCTGTGACGAAAATCAAAGCGGAGTATCACTCACCCGCACCAGATGGAAAACTCTACAGACTGCAGGTTCACACCGCATCATATTAAATTATGTGTATATCTTGTCACATACTAGGCTACCAGAGTGGCGCGGGACCACTTGCCCGGCCGGGCACCCAAAAAAAAAGAAAAGAAAAGAAAGCGTTTTTATTTTTATTTTTTACTTTTTTTAATTGCACAAAGAACTTCGATGTGACCCTGAGGCAAAAGTTGTTCAGTTTATTTTTATGCATAACATAGTTTTTTCGGTTCTTTTTTTTTGTTTTTGCACTGGGACCTTCCCTGGTCCTTGCACGGCCAGGCCGCCCGGGATAAAAAGGGTGACCCGGGTGGCCCGGCTGGTAGCCTATATATGAACTAAAAGAGCTCACTTTGCGAAAACCAGTGGTAAAAAAAAAAAAAAAAAAAAAAAAAACAAGAGGGCACACTGAAACCATCCATTCATTTCTCTCTCTCTTCTTTCAACTCCCCCTTCACCGTGCCTCTCACGTACAAGGCTCAGTGACACCACGTCGATGAAGTTGAGCGCGCACTGCCTACATCCCCGTGTGCCATAACGGCCCACTTGCACACTGTGAGAAAGAGGCAGAGTAAGGGGGGAAGGGGATAAACACAGGGAAGAGAGAGGTGAAGACAAACAAAGAACAACAAGGGAAAGTACGGAGTGTGGAATGAAGATGAACGCAAAGGAGAGGATAAGAAAAGGCTCAAGAATGAGTTTGTACTTGACGACAGACAGGACATAAATTTTAAGGATAAGGGAGATGAACGCATGGAAGACCTGACTGAGCATTCTCAGTACAACAATTGCCACGACGGCTGGCACTGAGCATGGCCACCACACCCCCCCCTACAAATGGCATGTCTATTGCAGGCCAAAATGAAGGAAGAACGCTCACCACAAAAGCCCATGCATGCGATTCTCTTTGTGTCCTTGACGACATGGCCGCAAAACGTACGTATAGTGTCCGCATGCGGACAACGCCTGCAGTGAGGAATGGAGGGACAATCCTCAACACACATGGATGCACAAACCATGTCATTCTTACAGTAGTGATTGTGACGAAGACGATGGCGGCCACAGCCGACTGTAACTGTGCTTGTAGCTGTGCAAAGGAGACGGTCGGTCGCAGAGTGTTGGTACATTGTCCTGCTGCAGCACAGGGCCAGAGGAATGATTTTTAACATAAAACGGATTGCCGAATGGCTTGGCGTGGCAAAGAAAAAGCATCATGATTATTATGCTAGAAGTCAGGACTTAGAAGTCAGTGACCATGATGTCGTTGTCCCACAGCTCCCATTGGTCAGATGCATGTACAATGGCCATATAATGGCCAGGTACGTGCACAATGTATCACAGTAATGGTAAAGAGCAACATCAAGCTGAAGGGCGATTGCAAGGAAGTCTAACGGTGTATAAAACGGGTGGTGAAGAATGTGGAGACAGATATTAGTTGCAGCCAGACCGTGCGGATTGGTACGGATCTCAGGCTGCTGTGCCGGATGCTGGCCAACAATTTGCAGACCTCTGGCTGTAGGCGGGGAAGATCAGCATCAAGCCGAAGGGCGATTGCGAGGAAGTCCGACGGTTTATAAAACGGGCGGTGAAGAATGTGAACACAGATACTAGTTGCAGTCCGACCGCGGAGATTGGTAGGGATCTCTCAGGCTGGTGTGCCGGATGCTGGCCAACAATTTGAAGATCACCGAGAAGGCGTTCCAAGGCCAAAATGTCGTGGGTTGTTTGCTAATCAGTCATTCATTCGCAGATCACCCATGTGGTCTGCGCGTGGTGGGACACAAATTTGCAGTTCATCAAATCGCTGCCGGTCGGTCATTTTTTGCAGATAACCCCCATGTGGTCTACGCTTTGTGGGGTTACTGCAATCCGGGCAAATCATGTTCCAATCCCTCGACGACGTTCGGGGCTGCATCCTGAGCAGGTACTGTCCCCAAAACTGGGGGTGCACCCTGGGAAGGGACACTACGCTGGACCCGTTTTCCAGCAGGTGATGCTCCCCACCAATAGACAGAGCCGCCCCCCCCGGGTGCTAGTGGTGTCTGCTCTCACCAGCATCACTAACACCGATGGGGACGAAGTTACAAAAAAGAAAAAAAAAAGAAAAAAAAAAGGGACACTATCCTGTTCTACAGGTGGACTCGCTCGGCTACCAGAGTGACCCGGGGGCACTTGCCCAGCCAGGCCCAAAAAAAAAAAAAAAAAAAAAAAAAAAAAACGTTTTTCAATTTTATTTTATTTATTTTAAATTGGGTAAAGAATTTCGATGCGACACGCAGGCAAAAGTTGTTACGTTTATTTTTCTGCATAACATTTTTTTTTTTCAGAACTTTTTTTCTTTTCTTTTTGCTGGGACCTTCTGTAGTCCCTTGCACAGCCAGGCCGCCCGGGCAAACAAGGTGACCCGGGCGGCCTGGCTGGTAGCCTAGTAACTCGTGAATATCTAACGCAGAAGGGCATGAGACATGGTCCCGTGGCTGTGCCTGCAGACAGCTGGACCGTCCGCAGGTGGCATGGGAGCGGATATTGCCGCTCGGCACAAAAGAAACCGGATTAACCTGGTGTAGAGCAGGCACAAAGAGAATCGGGGTAGACAAAGAAACAAGCTGCTGATAGCTGGACAAGCAACGTTGCGGCGCACGTCGTCGACAATACACGATAAGAGGAGTAGTGGGGTCGAAAGCTGATGATGAACGTGTCTCAGGTAAAGAAGATGCAACAACGGGAACAACGGGAACAATGGGAACCGGTGAG